TGTGACAGTCCCAGATTGTAGGGACAACGATGGAGACCAACTCCCTTCAACACAACATACTTACAGACATTCAAGTCCCAGTCAGTTTCCTGGACAGTCAACCACAACCACAGTGCACCTCAGGCATGCCTGTCCAGTAAACGGGCGGTCCTTGCCCACTTACTGGTGTGGCCCATCCAAACACCACCTCTGGTTATGCGAGGAGCACCCACTTGTGGTCCCCCAAACACTGTAATGAATGCCTTATTGAGTTACTGCACATACAAAGGAGTTCACTTAAACTTTATACTCTAATCCTGGAACATGGACTGGGCACATCATTGGGACTAGGGTCCAAGATGTGGCACTGTACCGGAAAACTGGGGACAGTTGGTATCTACTGTTGGCAGGCAAAGGAAACTCCTGTCATATCCCCAATTATGAGGACCAGGGAGAATGTAAGTGTATGTAAAGCCAATTTTCTTTGTTTTAATGGAGTAGGGAATGGTTAGGAACCATATCAGATTTATTTTCTTTTTGCTGTTTACGACTTGTTGGGCGAATGACCCTGCACTTCCTGTTTCAGAAACACAGCAGGAAATGAGGCGCTGTCTCCAAAGTGTTGAAAAATCTCCCTTATAGGACAGTTGTCCCCCATTATATAGATATGTTCTTTGGCTGGAAATCCATGATGTGTGTAGCGGCATCTGAGGATACATTGAGGGCATTTTATCAAGAGTGGAGCAAACAGAACCTGAGTAGTTGCCCATGTTAACCAATCGGATTCTCTCTTCAGCTTGTTCAGTTAAGCTTTGAATATGAAAGAAAAAAGCCAATTGGTTACTATGGTCAATACTTCATTAATCATTAAAGTGGATATCATATCATTGTTACCGTTTTACTGGCAACTTGGTGAACTTGACTAGACTAATAGCATGGCATGAACAGTGAGAAATATATATAGTTACATAGTATTTGAGGTTGAATAAAGACATTAGTCCATCAAGTCCAACCTATTAGGATCTCATTCTAGGAGTACCCGTACCCCTGTATATTACGGTCCCTTAAGAAATCGTCCAAAAGTTTCTTGAACAATTCCACATTATTTGCTGAAATCACCGCCTGTGGCAGTGAGTTCCAGACCCTAACTGATCTTACTGTGAAGAACCCCCTTCGCCCCTTGTGCTGGAATTTTTTTTCCATCAATTTTAGGTGATGGCCTCTAGTTTTTGTAACGGAGTTAATTTTAAACAGTTTATCGCTAATGTTGCTACCACCATTAAACATTTTGTACATGGAAATCATATCCCCCCTTAATCTCCTCACCTCTAATGTGAACATGTTTAAATTTAAGACTGCCTAGTCTTTCAGTGCAAAGTTAGATATTGACTTTCAACTGCATAACATACATTGAACCATGGAATCCTTACTGTGAATACAGTATATGTGAAGGTCTATATAAGTTTTTACAAGGACCTTTATTGGGATCTCCATATTGGTTTCATAGGGTTGCACATTACTTAGTGATGACTTTATTAAACTGGATTTAAACCGGCCATAATAATTATTGCATTACCTGAGGGGGAGGTGGGGTATTTGCAACAACATTGACAATTTTAAAATTTTCATGAAGGGTATATAGATGTAGTATTTGATATTAATGTATTTTTGAAGAGTTTGTAATAAAGCATTTTTGGTATCTATACTGCATACAACAATCCATAGTTGAACCCATTTTGGCTTCCTTGGTAGCACTTGCTTTAACCAGTGTAGTAAGGTTACGATCAATAATCCACTATATTGGATAAGTCGGTGTTGAAGTCTCATGAGGGTGACTCCCAGAGTTTTGCAGATGTTCTTCTCTAATCCCTTTAAAGAATCTTAGGGTCTATTTTTTGGAAACGATACAAGAACCTTTATTGCAAACGTAATGCATATTTAGGGATTGCTCTAACTGTTTCTATAGAAAGAGAGAGAGAGAGAGAAATAGATATATTTAGATATATATCAGAAAAAGCACAATGTGCATTAAATGGTCAACCATTGGAATATTTCCAAAAGTTGCAGGTCCCCCTGGAGCCAGACTGGGGTGTTTCTACAAATCCAGAGGGAGGACACGGCTGTACTACAGCAGGGCAGGGATTGAGAATATTAACAGACTGTTGTTGGAAGGGGTTTGCATTGTGGAGTTCTGCTGAATGACTTCAGGATTCCACAGTCAGTGAGTGGATACAGCGCCTGGGAATGTTTTCACAGGTCTGCGTGTCTCCTGCCCTGTTCCATAATCTCAGCTACTTCACGTGTCTCCTCCTATTAATGCATTGAGTAAACAGAGGCAGCTCTCATGAATGAAGACTGATGTCAGCACATTGTGAATGGAGCATACAGCGCAGCTGACCCCGTGCACTCGTTCTCGGAGCTCAGATAAAAGTCACTGGGGAACTTGGCGGCACATTTCCTTCAGCTGCTCGGCCGGCTATTCTACTTCCACTGAATGTATCAGTTCATGCGATATAAGACACATCACAGAGGAGAGGGGATAAAAAGAAAGTATAGATGATGCCCATTTTATTCTCTACGTTATGGAAAATAAAATATAATTGCATGCTGAAGTTAATTCTGATGGAAATAAAATAAATATAAGTATATTGTGTCTATCTGTAAGTCATACTAGCAGCAGTTTGCCTGTTTGATGAACGGTTTAAATGTAGAAAATAAAATAACATTTTGTGTAAAAAAAAATTAAAACACTACTCAAGTACAGCCCAATTTACTTTAACTGGGAAACTTTGGTTTAAGTATTTTTAAATACATATATTTTTTATTAACTATTGCATTGATTTTTTTTTATGTGGCTTTCACTTTTAGCAGGCAGCGTGGGGGGGAATGGCATAGACTTCCCACAACCTTCCAATAATATACTAGTGATTAGCTGCCTGAATGTTTGTATGTATCAAAAGCTTGTTTGTTTTAAACTTTAAGGTGATCATAATAAACTGGCCACTCAGTGTGTATATATATATAAAATGTAAATGTAACACCATTTTTTCTATTAGTTTGTGTGTGTGTGTGTTGTAATGTAATTCAAGTAGATCCCATCGCACTCCTGACCGGATATAACCCTAGATAATGGGTGGGTGCTGACCACATGTGTTGTAGACACCCCTCCAAGCTCACCCCCTTGGTGGACTACAATCTAAATACAAATTAGTAAACTAAACATGAGATCGTAGTCCATCACAGGAGCAAGATTGGAGGGATGAATATTTTACAACACACACAGGGACCAAGGGGAACAAGGACTTCTGTATTACCTAGAGCACTATGGAAATGATGGTGGGACATGAGGAACAAAAGATGACTATGCCTGGGTCAAAAACAAAAAATCTCTATTGATCGACCAATAATGCATTTTGTAACACAACGGGACACTTGTATGCCCAGTCCCAAGATTTGAAGAACTGACTGAACTGAACTGCTGCTCCATGCTTTCTGTTACCTTAGAAGACAGGACTGCAGTCCAGATCTTGATACCTTCTAGTTCGGGTTGCCTCATAATCATTTTCTTGAGCAGGCAGTTAAAGTGACACTAAACTCGGGAGTTAAATCTTAAAATTGCATGCAAGTCCCTTCACTATTAATACAATTGTATCTTATTTGTGTATCACTCGGCTGTAGATCCTCCAATCATCTCTGAATTGGTGCTGACACTGTCCTTCCTTCTGGAGGGGGGGGCTACTTTTGTTCCCCATGGTCCCTGTGTGTGTAGTAACATAGTCACCGCTCCAAGCTCGCTCCCGGGATGGACTACAATCTCATGTTTAGTTTACTTATTTGTATTGCGATTGTAGTCTATTACAGGAGCGAGCTTGTAGCGGTGGCTACTTCACAACACACAGACGGACCATTTTTTATCAGGCTATATATAACTATAGCTAGATGTCTTAAATTTCCATCAGAGCTTTGGCAGTTTGAGGCCAACACAAATACATCCCAACCCTATATTTTTTGGCAGTGGAAATATCTGGACCCAGAAGGAGTAAGGCAAGCTAGCTGTGGCTTCACCCAAGTAGTAGGCCGATTTAGAGGAAGGAGGAGGGCAGATAGAGGATGCCGGCTAAATGTCCTTAATTGATATTTTATGATGTAGGTGGAAGAGTGGGGAATACAATTAAGAAAATATTTACAAAAACACAAAAGGAAATGAGTGTTCAAGACATTAGATGTTCTTTAAAGAAGAACCCTCGGGAAAAAGATTGTATTACAGGAGTGAACGTGGAGCGATGACTACTTTACAACACACACACAGGGACCATGAGGAACAAAGGTAGCCCACCTCCAGAAGGAAGGACAGTGTCAGCACCAATTCAGAGATGATTTGAGGATCTACAGCCGAGTGATACACAAATCAGATACATTGTTGTTCATAGTTAAAGGAGAACTATGAGTTGAGTTCTTTTCACTCACCTCATAGTTCTAGCCGACCTGTGACAATGAAACTGTCACAGGCCGGCTCATTAGATCGGGAAGTGAGTGAACACATACCGGCGTTCGCTCACTTCTCGATCCTGCCACGGCTCTCTGTCGTGACAGGGGAGGGGCTGGATTCCCCCCTCCCCGCTCTGATCCTCCAGCGCTGACTGGCGGAATGGACGGGGGAGGGGGCGGGTACAGCTGGCTCTGCCTCTAGATAGGCAGAGCCAGCTGTCACTCACGCAGCTGGGCGGATCCAGACATAATTGTAGCTCACGGTATACTGAGCTTAGGGTGACGGGAGAAGGCTAGTTTGTGTCCTCCCGTTACCCTAAGGAGAACTATGGGGAAAAGCCCTAACCCCATAGTTCTCCTTTA